AGGGTCTCGTTGAACCGACACGTGCGGAAAGAGTGCGGCAGGGTGCTGTTCAGGTGCCCCTTCTGCCCCTGCATCGTCCCCATGAAGTTCAACCTGCTGAACCATATCAGGAAGGAGCACGGATGCATCGCCGAGCCGGTGGATTCTCGATAACGAGAGAAGCTTATCGACATCCCGCGCTCGTCTAGACGTTCTTCGGGGTCCGCATTCAGGATTTTTTTTTCACCACCGTATCAGGATTTTTTTACACTATCGTAGGTGGACATTCTCCCACGTTCCGCTCTCCTCCTTAACTCCGGCCGCTGCATCCCTAGATTTTCATACAGCATCCGAATTTCCGTCACCTACCCCTCTCGACCTCATCGTCCAGAGGAGTAACGAGGAAAATTATGCCGGAAGTATGAAAAATTGTAGGGATGCTCAAAGTACCCCTGCAGGTGCGACTTTGATTTCATCCCCTGAGCCCAGCAGCCGCTGCAGCGGCAGTAAATGCAGTTCTTAAATGTCGGGTACGAGTCGGCATTTGCGCGGGACAATAAAGGGCGTTTATGAGAGGAATCGAGGAGTCGATCCCATGAGCCGACCGCCCATCGAAATTCGCGATTTTGCCATAGCAGAGTAGGGCGCGATGTAGGGTCATAGGTAATCTCCCACCTTTGCAAGGTGGACTCGCGCCCCCGAGCGAGCCGAGGTCTCTAATCGTGCTTTCTCGTTTCTCTTTCCAGGCTATCCGATCGGCGGTCGGGTGTACGCGTGTAATTCGTGCGGGAACGTGTACATGTATCAGAGCTCGCTTGTGCGACACACGAGAGAAGAGTGCGGCCAGGCTCCCAAGTACCAATGCCCCTACTGTCCCAAAAGGACCAAATTGCACTGCAACTTGTTGAAGCACATTCGCAAGCACACCCTGTGAGCAAATTCGAGGTGAAGGGTCGAAGGGGGGACCACGTCGCAAGAGACCGGAAGACCTGGAAGACAAGGAGGGCCGTCTCGTCTCGATGGAGTCGCGAGGCGGGGTCGGAGTATCTGTAAAATAGTGTAAAATACGAGTCTCTTGTATGTAAATAAATCCGGAATGGCTAATTGGCATCTCTTCCTATGTTGGGCAGTCGGGTTTTAAAAATGGCGCCTTGACCGAACGGCCTGGCCAGCACGAAATCGGTAGTATGCACTCTCTTCGGTCCCTCAGAAACTTCCGCGATGCGCTGACGAGTCCCGATATTTCTTTTCCAGAGTACAACGTCTGCCTGGCGTGCTCCAAGTCGTACAAATGGAAGAAATCCCTGCACCGGCACGTCCGAGAAAACCCCAAGTGTTGGCCGGTGTTGCTCACGTCTGGAAACGAGGAGTACATCAAACAGATCCATTACAAGATGCTCTACAATGTCAACGCCTGAGAAGTGATATACCGGGGGACTTCGCGGGTGTCTCTTCCTCCTGCAAAGCGCTGTTACGATATTTTTTTATAAAATAAACGTTGATATATTCCGATATATATCCGTCTCGGAAGAGCGTCGCTCCGTTTCGGCCTCGTCTCCTGGCTTTACCTCGATGCTCCTTGTTTTTTATGTGCAGGCATTGCGGCCCCCTTTAATTGTTTTTTACCCCCTGCCAGGAACCGTCGATCATTGACCCTTCGATTTTTCGCAGATCTCTGGATCCGGAATTCCTCGACGAAGATGTACCCTTGCTGCAAGTGCGAGAAGGCGTACTCGAATGCTTCTTCTCTCTATCGACACCTCAAACTCGAGTGCGGAAGACCTCCACAGTTTCACTGCCCTTACTGTTGCTTCCGTTCCAAAAGAAAGTTCAACTTGGACTCTCACATCTCGCACAAACATCGCCACTGTGGAACCACATACGCCACCAACTTGCCTAGCTATAAATGAGTCGACGCCAAATGTACCCGGGATACCACGTTCGGTAAATTATACAAAGACGAGGAACAAAAGTATTAACGTTACTCTGGAGATTGCGAATTGCATCTCGAAATCTTGTGTGTGTGTGTGTGTGGGTATTCAGTGATGTCTCTCGCGAGACTTGTATCGGCTACTGAAATAGAAAGACGTCGTCCGCGGATTTTCGCGGCGGAAACGGTTCGACTCATTTCAGCCGATCTGACGAGCTGTCTGTGTAAAAAACTATGACGAGTCGTTCCGAATAAAGTACTCGAAACGTTCAATTTTTACTCCCCTTAGGGACTATGTACTGAGAAAAATCTGAAAGACACTTGAGACGGTTTAATGTAAAGATAGAGACATAAAGTATTATAAATCATTTCTTTCAGCATTCCGTCGCAGACCGAGACATTTCTCTATCCGTAATTTAGACCGTAAGTCCCTTGTAATTTACAATCCAGTGCCTCCAAAATCTGCATGACCCCATAGACCCCCTGAAAGTTATATGCATTTTGTGAATTTTCTTTTACCACTGTTTCGTTATTTTACGACAGAGACGTTTTTATTTGCGACCTTGCGTTTGCTCTTAATCCTTATTTTTTATTGCAATTGCTTTCCGCAGGAGTGGACGTCAGTACGTGCCATCGCGTTAAGACGACGGCCCCTTTAACTTTTTTTACAGCTTTAAAGAGGAACGCCCGTAAACCGCGCGGTGCTCCCTTTTCTCTCTACTCCGTAGCCTTTAAGGCGATATCCCCTTTAATCGGCCTCTGGGAGCACTAAAGCGGAACGTCCGCGACCTTGCCCCTTCCCTGTCTCCTCCGATACTGACCTACTTCACGCGACACTTGTTGAGCTACTGCGCAGACGGCGCGGCGCCGGCTGGTCACGTGGTCCACGCGGCGAGGCGGCGCGCTCCGAGCCGCAGTCGGTCACCGACCGCCGTGGAGGTCGCGTCGGTGTATTTGAACCACTTTCCCGTTTTTCATCGTTAAAACCCTCCCCGTGTTGCCAGTCTACCTCCACTGAACAGTTACCGACAATTCCAAAGTGAAAATTAACGACTGGTCAATTTAAACAACTTGAAATATATCGAGAAAAAATGTGATACTTTCCAGATTCGCAAGGAATACACATTGGTGGGTCGGAACGATCTTCCCGATGTATATTTTTTTCATTTTCTCAGAGTTCTGAAGATCCTTGCCGTAATTTTTGTTTTCCTTTCATAATGAAACGTCGGTATTTTATCTTCATTATTCGATGCCTGAATTGATACATGAGAATGAAGTAAAATATGGTTTAATTCTTATGGGAAATGGTTAATAAATCTCAGCAACATTGCCTGGCAACATTGGGCTTTATTTTGCTTGCCGTTCGTTTCTCGCCGAAGCGAACGTAGGTTTTTTGGTCGTTTGAGCCTCTTTTTCTGTCTTCGTCGTGGATTGGATTTTTCGTCACTAACGGTGTTGATCGTTTTCCAGGGCAATCGTCGGTCGAGCGCCACGAGGCGGGGTACCAGAAATCGTACAGGTGTACGGAGTGTAACAGGTCCTACAACCTGAAGTCGTCGCTGACTAGACACCTGAGGCTGGAATGCGGAAAGGCGCCTCAATTCGACTGTCCCTATTGCTGCTTTAGGTCGAAGCGAAAGTACAATTTGCAGCAACACGTGAACGCCGTGCACAGGGTCTCTCTCTTCTAACCGATTCCCCGGGGGTAAAAAGCTGTAAAAAGCGACTGCGACGAGACCTCGATGCCGCGTTTCCCTCTTCGAAAGTCTCGTCTTCGAGCTCTAAGTCATCGATAACCGCGTGAGCGAATGAAAGAGCGAGTGAGACGATCGACGGGGATTTTCCCTAGCAAATGGACGGTTTCGAATAAAAGTAACAGATTCGCAAAGATCACCGAGTGGAAACGAGAGAGTGAATGGCTATCGAGGGGGTGGGGAAGGCGAGAGGGAGGAGATCGTCCCACAGGTGAGAAAGAGAGAGAGAGAGAGAGAGGGGGAGAGAGAGGCATCGTCTCGTAATTACCTACACTCGTGCTCTAACAAAGACCTAATGCCGAAGGAGGACCGTGGGAACATCTACTAAGAGGAACCTTTGGGATTTTGTTTCAGACCTCAGAGGAATGCCCGTCTTGTTCGGGGTCTTCAAGAAACCGTTCCCTTGCGAGCACTGTGACCGGAGCTACAAGAACAAGAGTTCGCTCAATCGGCACATCCAGTACGAGTGCGGCAAGGAGAAGCAGTTCATCTGCCCGATATGTCAGAGGAGACTGATTCAGAAGAGCAGCCTCCATAAGCACATGCTCGTGGTCCATGGGATCTGAGTGCGACCGCTTTCCGACCCCGAGTATTTTAATCGCAGTTTCTCCCTACCCCGGAAACGGAGTCACGTCGACGTAACGTACTTAACGGCCGTTATGGAGAAACGGAGATTAATAAACCTACGAGAATTCCGTGCCTTGAACCTCCGACCTGATCGACGCCTCAGGACTCGGCACGACTTCTTAACACCTCGTCGTTGTACATACTTGGAAACACCTAGACATACGTTATGCATAAAGCCTGTATAAACGTCGTTAGACAAACCTCCTGTACATTGATTTAGACATTAAGAACACTCGGCAGGAACTTATCACTTGGCAGAAGAGCCGAAAATCTTCCGACAAGCGACCCGACCGGGAACTCCGGTCGCCAGGTCTCGAGGGTCGAAGATCCCCGACGAGATCCATCCATGGATCCAAGGATCGAGTCGATCCTTCGAATCGATCCACCCTTTGACCCCCGAGACTCGGCCTCTCTTCACCTCTGTACACACACATACATACGTACACTTGATTTTATTTTTGCAAAATTACCGTCCTGGGTGTTCCTTCTTCGGGGCTATTGGCTGAAACGTTTGTGTTGGGTTGGTTACGGGTTAATTTTAATTTTGCCAGTAACATTCATTACCACCGCCGACTCGCCCCTTCCCGTACATTCGGTCGCCCCGGTTTTTGAACCTCCCTTCTCGTCCCCTCCATTTCCCGCCAGAACCTTCTCCGTTTTGTTTCGTTATTTTAATTTCCCCCTTTCGTTTTCTTCTGCGGATGTTGCAGGCATGGGAGCCCTGCTTTCTCTCCTGCGCTCGGACTACAAGCACTCGGTGAAGAGGTACAGGGCGACGAGAGAGAGCACCGGGAGAGACAGCGTGGAGGGCAACGATCGCACCAGGGAGGTCGTCTTCCCGGACTCGTTCGAGGTCCTACCTCAACCTAGGGACCTCAGCGTCGTTTACATGGGCGTCCCTCACGAGCAGCAGCGCAAGTTCAGGTGCAGGTTCTGCGGCAAGGGGTACAGGTGGAAAAGCACGATGCGCCGCCACGAGATGGTCGAGTGTGGCGGGAAGCCCCCTGCTTTCCAGTGCCCCGAGTGTCCCTACAAAGCTCGGCAACGAGGCAACCTCACCGTGCACTACAAGCGACATCATCAGAAAATCGGATACGACGAGAGCATCTAGACCTAATCTCGACACCCCGTCTCTCTTGGATATCTCTCTCTTACTCTATCTCTCGATGCCCTCGAGACGACGCGCGCTTGTATCTCCATCTCGCCCCCTCTTTATTTTTTTTACGGCCACTCGCCTCGGATTTTTGAGGACTATCGACGAATTCCGTCAATCGGGAGTAGTTTCGAGAACGAAGGATCGATTCGATCTTACATTGCCGAGGATGAGACGTTTCGAGGACCCAGCCTCCGTTTGTGATAGATCTCCTCTCGATCCCTCGATTCAAGATGGCGCGTCGAGGTTACGTTTTCAAGGACCCGATTATGGGTCCTCTTAGGGTGATAGCATTGGAAGGGCTGAATCGGTAGTTGGAGGTTTCTTCCAGCGTGGTAGTTGCAGTGGCGGTGCACTTTAGACGTCGAAAATCGGTGGCGACGAGAGTGGTCCTACGCGCGGTTCTCTACCTCTCGAATGTCTCTTAACATCTCTCTATTATAATTGTTAAGGCAAAGTTAGCCCTTGTTCGGGACGATCTTCCCGGGGCACGTGCTCTAGGGAATCCCTCCGCTCCAAGGGACTGCCCATCGTCTCGCTCAATACCGATTTATCGATCATCGAATTATCTCACTAGGGAACAACTGATGTTTTCTCGACTGGAAGATTTTTTTTAAGGTGTTTGGCGCACCTTGCAAATCCGAATTTTTCTCGACCGATAGTGCCTTTCGTATGGATCTACGTGAGCGAATTTCGGGACGAATTGAGATTCCATTCCATTTTAACGCGTTAAAAATAGGACGGTTGATGTACATTCTGGAGATGCGCGATGTGTATTATTTTAGGAGTTAAAAAAATGTTAAGTTAGATGCGGAACTATATGCTCGTGAGAAAAATCTCTGATATTCGTCTCAACTGAAATTCCGATAAGTAGCAGTATTAATCGCCGATCGATGATCGCGATTGCAATTGGCTTTTCGATGCTTCCTCAACCTCGAAATTCGGTTTCGAAGTAACGTCGACTTCTCGAGGATTCGAACGCGAATGTTCCGCGAGGAAACGCGATTAATCGGAGCGACGTGTATGGATTTTGATAAGCAAATGTTCACCGACTGCGAGTAAGGTTCCCACTATCTGACACGCGGGACTGAGACGACAATCTCCTTGCAACACTAGTGGTTATTTACGGTCATATTCATTCCAGTTAATTATCTCTCGGAGAGTAACGATCGGTCTTGAGACTCTTCCTTTCGTCGCATCGACGGACGACGCCGAGTTCAGCTGATAAGGGGCTCCGATCGCGATAAAAGTACTCGTCCTCTCTTGGGAAAAATATATAAAGACATTAGCGATCCTGATTAAATTTGTACATTGCCTGGGCAGGACGGGGAGGTAGCGATTTTATTTTTTTTTATATTTTTTTTTATTAAATTACACTCGCAGGCTCTGGTCCTTCTCTCTTCCCCTGGCGGCCCGAAACCGCTCTTCTCACCTGAATTCAGCGTCGGAAAATAAGGATAGAAGTCGGCAATCGACGTGTCTAGTGCCTGTGTAACTTACGAATGCATTCCAGTATTTATTGCGCGTGAGCTTAACGGTTGAAACCGCGTTTAAACCGCGTTTAAACCGCGTTGAAATCGCATCCGCTCGTTGGCGAGGAACGCCCGAGCGGGCGCCATCTTTTTATCGTTAGACACCTAAGGACAATCGTTTTTCCACGTATTTTTGTTTGTTTTGTACACAAAGGAGAAATAACTCGGACGCGAGCTTGCGACGCGCGTCAGTATTTTTGATATCAGTATTTTTTGCGAATTTCCGCCACTCGTTTGTTATATACCTTCCACCCTCGTCCGCGTTTCTCAACGCACCCCTCGAACTTGATTTTTCTCTAAGATTTATCGGTTACCTTGTAATTAACGAGCTACTTGTGTAATTTGGACTTTTGGTATGATATACTTAATGTTTAAGAACGATTCCCTGTATATCTGTCACTTCTCTTCTGTATCTCTCTCGTTTGCCTCTCTTTCTCTATCTCTCTTTTTCTCACACTTTATTTCCTCGTCTTCGTTAAGTAGTAATATCGAGCGTTGGTAAATAATTTTTTGGACTCTTACTTTGGATATTTAATGTTTTTTTGGAAAGGTTTATCAGGCGGATCAATGATTTATTGCTATTATTATTAATATTATTATTACTATTAATAAAAAGGCACACACTCTGTTGCGGGTTATTTTCTGAAGAATCTGCGCGTACGGTTTGTTTCTCGGTTTCTGCTTTTTTTTTGGTTTCCATGAAGACACCATTCCTATCCTCTTCTCGGTACCTCGAAGAGTTCCCTTCCGAATCTTCCCTTCTTATCATCTCTTTATCCTCATTTTCTAGGTACCGAGAAAAGTTCCTTTTACCCATGTAATTATAATAATTTTTTGTTCTACCCCACGCGATTGCAGTACTCCACTGTCACCTTTCCGTAATTATGGTGCGTTCCCATGATTACAGGCAGGTCATCGTGGTTTACCGAAACTTGCGATGATTATCAGGTAGAAAAATGATGGGGTGCTCTTTTGAACATATAACAGCCGTTAATGACCGATAATCGCGTTAAGATAAGGGTTGATTAAACGAGAGCGAATGCAAGCCTTTGATTTGTCTTTCCCTGAAGATGCTCGTATGTCAAAAGGAGAGGTTTTCGGGCTACCTCATCGGAAGCATATTAATTCGTTGGTTTTTTTTTCAGCGGCGTGGGACCAGATGCAGATCTCCGCGAAGACCTTCCCCTGCGACACCTGCGGCAGGCAATACAGGAGAACCATCACCCTGAAGAGGCACAAGAAATTCGAGTGCGGCAAGGAGGCGCAATTTGCCTGTCTGGTGTGCCAGGCTCGATTCAAACACAGACACAGCCTGCTCAGACACTACAACGTGCACACATCCGTGCCCAGGGGACCCAGAATCCATCGGATGACCAAATTTTGACGTCCCTCCCGAAGGAAGATCCTGGGAAAATACCCTGGAAGGCAGAAGCACTCCGCTGCGCAGGAGAACCACGAAAAACCCCAACGAAGACGCGCCCTCCTAACTCTGCGTCCTTTGGCCCAACCTCGTTCTCAAATCGTGTCTGCATTTATTTCTTATGTCGCCCGAGGCAGGGAAAATCGTTTATAATAAAACAAAATATGGTACCACGTTTCACCCCGAATTTCGATCGCCGTGACCGAGCCCTTCGAGCAAGGGTGGAGGCGCCTCCCCCTTAAGGCGATGCGAAGGTGGCGTCAGGTCTCGTTTATGAGACTTTCCTCCGAACTGGGTGTACCGAATCGGTCGAAACTCGACAACGTCAATATGGAAGCTATATCGAAGGTCTTGACACCCGTGAAATTTCAATTTTTTTTTTTTTAATTAAAAGAAAAATTTGTTTCAAAATGAAATTTTAAGGGTGTCAGGACCTTTCTCTTAGGCTCCGTATTCACGTTACGGAATTTGAAACCATGCGGTACCCCAGGTCGGAGAAAAGTTCCCGAACGGTTGTCACATTGTCGTTTCCTTAACCCTAGAGATTTGTCACCTCGCCTCCCTGTGACTCGTTTATCACCCCCTTAACACGTGTCTACACCTTGTGCCGTGAACTCATCCCTGTCGTATGTCCAAGCAAAGCGAATAGGTAAGGCTCCTTCGGGATCCCGCGTCTCGAATCCCTGCCGAGGATGTCGGGGGCAGAACCCTCGTTTCACGTCCCTCTGTTCTCTAATTTCAGAATACTGGGCCCAGCAGGGAAGCTTCGACGCCACCGGGGTCGTCAACGAGGGAGGGTTCCAAGCCGAGCAGGGCACCTCCTGGAACCAGCAGGACACCTTCCAACCCGTTCGCACGGCAAGAGGTCAGTCTTCCTACAAGTGTCCGAACTGCGGTCGCTTCTACAAGCGGCCTGCCTGCCTGAAACGTCATCTGCGCGTCGAGTGCGGGAAAGCACCCGAACACCAATGCAAAATCTGCCAGGGCTGGTTCAAGTACAAGCACAATTTGGTCGCGCACATGAAGCTTCACATCGAGGAGCCGAAGTATCATTGCGGGCTTTGCCCGAGAAAATTCTACAGGCGAGACAAGCTCGTCGAGCACGCCAGGAGGCTGCACATGTCCTTCTCGGTCTGATCCCCGAGATCTCTGTTTCAGACCGTCGAAACGTGGCCAGGACTCCTCTCAGATTTTAGAGGACGAGCCCTAGTAACCCTATTTTTTTACATCCGATTTTCTTTAAAAGGAAACAGGGAGAGCAAGGGGGAGGAGGGTGGAAAGTCGTGGACCTTTAGTCGATGTCCTGAGAACGAAGGGTGCTACCCTTTGTACATATCCTGTAGTATATATTCTAGGGTGTTTTTTACGGAGCTTGGCCGATTTTTGCAGAATATCGCCAGAGGAGAAATTGGAAAAAAAAAAAATGAGAAACGTCCACGTCTTTCGGGAGGAGACGTGCAGGATTATTTTACGCGTCCCTCCTTAATTTCGCCTCCACTTATTTACTTAAGCCTCGATACGACTGTGTACTTTTAATTTCCTAAAAGTAAGCCGAGAATATCATTTTCATTTGTGCACTTATTCCGCGCTCATTGTTTGTAACTCATTTCCGTTGGTTTTCCTTTCGAGATCGGGGGTTTATCCTGGGATGAAATGGCCCCGCCGATTTTCTGGCGGAAATAAACTTAATCGGATAGGTCAAGTTCAGCATGGTTTGAGTTCCTTTGGACTGGCGATCGGAGAGTAGACCTTGCGAATAGCTTGCTCCTTCGGTATCTTGATGGCAGCCTTCGAAGATCACAAAAAATCCCCCTCTTTTATCCCGCAATGACTAATTCCTCGGGTCTTTTCTTTCTTGCAGAATTCGTCAGGTACGAGCGGCCCTTCGAGCGCATCTACAGGGCTCGCCGGGACTTCGCTTGCAATGTCTGCCCCCGTAGATACAGTTCTCTGAGGGCCCTGAAGTTCCACCAGAAGATCGAGTGCAATCAGGAGCCAAAGTTCACCTGCGCCCTGTGCTCCTACAGGACCCTCAGGAGAACCAGCCTCCAGAGGCACGTGCAAGCCAGGCACACCAGGGAGAGGATCTCCTAAAAAATGTCCCTTCAATGTAGAAAGTAACGCGAGGTCGTCTCAAGACCTTCCAGGTCCCCGGCGAAGGGTGTATCGCCGATCCTGAGTTAATCTGTAACTGGAATAAAAGTCCAATTCGATCTCACTCTTACTGTAGATTAAATGGGCGCTGCGTTAATTACCATTTAAAGGAGTATCCGTCGAGCCTCTCCGCGTTTCCGGAAGTCCCTTCGTCTTGCTGCCCTCGGGTATATTATCGAGGTTCTTAAAAATCGACGGCATCTCCGCGCCCGTAAAAAAATTAATCTGGGAAATATCCTATTTTTAGGGACCTTATCTTCTCGACAAACATTTTTTTCCAAGTGGTTTGTAGGGTAGGACACCCATGTCGGGTCGTTACAATACGAATAAACGGATCGTTGGTCGCGAGAAATCCAGGAAATATGTTAATCTTTAAGTTCTCTTTTAAGTTCCCCCCCAAAGTTGGCTTCCGCGTCTTCTGGTAGGATCCTTTTTTAATATAACCACGAGTGCGTCTGCTTTTCAGTGCATTTCGACGCGCTCTTCGCAGGCCCGGGCGTCACTTGGAAGCAATTCAAGTGCAAGACTTGCCCCAGGAGGTACTGCACGCTCATGGCCTTGGACTTCCACAGGAGAGTCGAGTGCAACCAGGAACCAAAGTTATAGTCTGTACAGACACGTGCAGACTGTGCACAATAGGGACAGGGTATCCTGGAATTCCTGATCTGGGAAGAAAATCGATGTGCAACTGGGTGCATTCGCAATTTCCAGACCCTGGCGCTTTTCCGATTGACCTGTAGCTCTGATTAATAAAACCCCCCGTCCACTTTGTTCGACAAGTTCGCCCGTAATTCCCGCCTGCAATTCGCTTGCACAGTTTCGAGGTGAATTTATCGCTTGCCCGTGATATTTCTGTATTAACCACAAGCACATCTTCTTTTCAGCGCATTGCGACGCGATCCTCGCCGCCCAAGGCATCTCTTGGAAGCAGCTCAGATGCAGGACGTGCCCCAAACGGTACAGCACCTTCATGGCTCTGGAATTTCACCAGAGAGTCGAGTGCAATCGAGAGCCGAAATTTGCATGCTCGGCTTGCAATTACCGCACCGTGAGGAAGGCCAATCTTCACAGACACGTCCGACGAAGACACGTCGATCAAATCTGCGGCAGAATCCGAATGAGAAATTCTAAACAAAAGATGCATCTTAGGAAGGCGCTGTAATTTTACCAACTGGGTCCGGACGAATGGAAATCCTTCCATGGATCCAAAACTTGACTTTTCCACTTTTTCTAAGAAATAACAGGGATGATCTCCCAATTTTTTCCTCAGGGTAGTAAGTACCTGAATTTTTTTATCCTTGGTTAATTGCACCTACAGGTACTCCAGGTACGTCACGTGTACTTCCACGTGTTCCAATTTGGAGCGAGTCTGATATTAATGATGCATATTCAGTTGCCACTGCAACTGAGGTGTTCCATGAATCGCTAAAGACTACACTGTCCATAATTCTTTCATGTATATCATATTAATGAAATTATGTTGCAATAACGTATCTGTAAGTCTGTTTCGGTAGAACTTAGTTCTTCACTTTCTTAGATTTTTGCTTTATTTTATACTCCTTTAATTATCCATCTGTCTATAGCTAGGGAAACTGAGATTCAGTGCCGTATCTTTAGTTGTACCATTTCCTATTTCGGTTTTGTACTCTTGTACCTAAACAACGCTGAAAGTTCCTTCAGATAAGGGACCATCGCTAGCAAAGACGATATGTACTTGCTTTTTCCGTTTAATAAATATTCCTTAACTATCGTGGAAAAGTCTAAGTGTTTCCAGGTTTCGCGTGATTTAAGGGGGAGGAGTCAGATT